AATAAACACTCTAGCTTAAAAAGATCGTCTTAAAGACAGAGCAATCCCAGTGTGTGCACAATTAAACCAAATCACTTATAGGTCTGCTAGCTGCCAGTTAACGCCACTGATTTCCTCATCTGTTTCTCCCCAAGTACAATCTCAAATTCTGAGACCTTAAAGCCACATACATGGATAACAGAAACTGGAGGTTGGAAGGAAGGTTTCTGTGAAAACATAAGCCATACCCAAGAAGCCAGTTCAACAGTTCTGAAGTTTGTGACTCTTTTCTCCAGTTGCCTCACCCTAAATTTCTTGTCACTTTGTTCCACTGCTCAATATGTTTTTATACATTTGAAGTAACAAGGCAACAGGTGCCAGTGAAAACAATGCTTTTGCTCTAACCTCCTGAAATTTCAACCTGACTCTTGTACCCATGCCAAGAGAAAACCTCAGACGTCCTTTAACAGAGGCAAACGGTCACCTTGATATTCTAAACCCAAGGAAAGGTCGGTTTTTATAACAAGTTCAAATATGAGTTAGTATAAATAAATCAACAGAGATATTGTTAAATGTTTGTGAATTTTTTTAAAAAGGAGAAAAATCTACTCCAAAAACGTTAATTCACTAAAGTCTTGTGAGTCAAAGCATGCTCAATAGACCAACAGTATCAGTACCGACTGGGAGCTTTTGGAAATGTAGAAAAATTCAAGCCCCAACCAAATCCATCAAATAAGAACTGTATTTTAACAAGCTCCCATCCAATCTGTATGACACTTAAGTTTGAGAAGCACTGTATATATATAGCCTTCGTATACAATAATCAAAAGAAGACACAACTGGAACACCAGTGCCAACAGCTGCCAAACAAGAGAAAGAGCTGCATGCAGTTTCCACTCCAACACCACACTTCCTGCTTCTCTGGGTACTGTGCACACCAAATAATACAAGGAATCCAACCCTCCACCCCCATGCTCCAAGGATCTAAAAATCATAAATTTAAAAATGTATTATAACCTAGATGTCATCTCTAGATGTCACAAAAACGTAACAGAACAAGATACAGAGCAAGGGTGTCTAATCTTTTTGCTTCCCTGGGCCACATTGGAAGAATAAGAATTGTCTTGGCCCACATATAAAATACACTAACACTAATAATAGTTGATGGTCTTAAAAAAAAATACAAAAAAAGATGATAATGTTTAAAGAAAGTTTACAGATTTGTGTTGGGCCACAATCAAAGCTGACCTGAGCTGCACGCTGGGCTGTGGGCCGTGGGTTGGACAAGCTTGCTACAGAGGAAAGGAAAGTGTGAGGTAAACTCGAAATCAGACAAACTAGATTTGTACCCTAGATTCTGACACTTAGTAGCTATGACCCTAAGTAAATCCTCTAATCTCTCTAAACTCAATTTTCTGATGTGTGGAATGGGAAAATGTCATCCAATTCATATAGTCGTTATGAGTTGAAGTGAGATAAAGAATGTGATAGCATTTTTAACAGCGTCAAACTGTAATTAGAAATTAGACGTGTTTCTGTGGTTTTGAGATGGGGGGTGGATGCCAGAGTAAGTATGGCCCAATAATTATTGTAAGATATACTAAAAGATGATTTGTGGTTTACATGAAATTTAATTGGGCATCCATATTTTTATTTGCTAAATCTGGCAACTCTATAAAAACTCAAATTTTGGCTAATTTTAAATATATTCTTTCTTCTCTTCTCTGTTGAATTTGCCATCTTCAGCTCATTTACAGAATTTGTGGTGATCTACAACCGCTATCTAGAAAAACATTTACCATTGATCAATGCATGACAGTATAAACTATCATTTTCAGTAGAAGAGTTAGGAAGATCAGCACAAGTCTGTATTCACATATTGTTTTTTCCTACCAATGAATTATTCAAGAGTACACTACTACATCAGCAGATGTCATTTAACAGAGAAGATGCTACACTTGCTTGTGCAGGCTATTACAAAACCACTAGGCACTATTACTTGAAAGAAAAATAAATAAAGTACACTCTTGAACAACAGAGTTGCTTAAGAAAGCTAAAGGAATGAAAAGTGGGAGCTAAAAATGCAAATAACAACAGATCATTCTCCTGGGTTATCAACTCTTGCCCGTAAGTCAAATTCCTTGTAAATAGATTTTAGGGGGTCAGAAATTTTCTAGGGCCTATTAAAAAAAAAAAAAAAAAAAAAAAAAAGCTGTAGCTAAAAAAATAAGAAACTAACCCTTTCAAAAATACAATTACATCTATTTTTGTGAGTGACATATCTTATGAGGTTTTAGCAACTAGTGCTTTTTCTTAATGAAACCAGACAATAATGTAAAAAATCTTTCTAAAGTGTGTTATCAGAGAAATAACTATTTGAGTTAGATTTTAGAAACCAATGTGAAATGTTTTCATCAAACTATATAAAAGAGACTATAACAATGGGATTTTTTTTGGGCAAAGTAGAAAAGTATTTTAACTTTTAACAACACAGGGACTCTGGTCTTAACCCATTTATGCCTAGTGTTCTATTATCGGAACGTTAAGCTTGTGGGAGTTATTTACATCCTGCTGCTGTCTTAACCCATTTATGCCTAGTGTTCTATTATCAGAACGCTAAGCTTGTGGGAGTTATTTACATCCTGCTGCTCAAGGTCATCACGGAGATCTGATTTTTCACACACACAAAAAATGTGCAACCTCTGGCATAAATGGGTTAATGAAGTTGGTAGGAACTAACACACACATTCCAAACATTCGTTTTAAAAACAAGTCTACAATGGTAACTGATAATTAAAACATAGATATTAATAATATCGAGCTCAATTTTAGACCTAAGTGTTAATGAGAATAAAGAGATGGCATTTATAGCTCTCACCTCTGAATGACCGTTAGCCAAAAGAAGAATTCTGAACCAAATCATATATTTTCATCTATACATGGAATAATTTCTTTGTATTCATTCTCTGGTGCTAATGTCATTGAACAGAAAATAAAAAGATGTGTATGTCTGAAGATAGAAAATGTGAGTCTTTGGTCAGTATCACTCTAAATAAAATCTCACTACTCTGTACTGAATGCAAAGGAAGACAGAGGAGAGCAAGGGAAGAAGACAAGGGAGAAGAGAGGAATAAAAATAAACCTCTACAAAATAGAAATGTTTAGTAGAGACACTAAAATACAAATACTACAGCTAAGCATCACTACTGACACAAAACAAGTGGTTAAAATAAACACTGAAAGGTTAAGTATCTTGCCCAAGGTCATATAATGAAGTCACCCAAACAATCCAGTATCAAAGCAGTAATAAATTATACTCTCTTTATGACCTATTCAACTGGACTTGGCAAAACCATAATTAAAATGGTAAAATGTTTCTATCTAGAAAAAAAAAACTGCACTAAATCATAATCTGGAATGAAGAGAGACTTGAAACTTAGCATACTGCAGCTAAGATGATCTTTGCCACTGAAAAAACAATGACTATTTTATTTTGTATTCCTTGGAAAATAAACTTATTTAGAAATAAGTATGATTTAATGGCATTTGCTGCTGGGTAAAAGTTAACTAAAATAAACCAGCTAACAATATTATAATATAACCTGTAACTCAGTGAATTATGTATAAACCAATGGCTTCACGGTCAAATTATTCTGAAACTTTTCCCAGGGTTTCATTTAGAGAGACTGAGAGCAAAACCAGTAATGCAAAGGACTAACTATGGGACAAATGGTAAAACTTCCCACTAAAATATGAGTCAGCTTAAAGCTTCAGTTAGAGATGAAAGTTCTCGAAACACAAGGCAAAACACTTCTGAAATTTTTCTACTAAAACTCAACTACTTTCAGACTGTGTCATAATTGGAATTACTTAAGTGGTACCCATACTGTTTTACTACAATATGTGGAGAAAACGTAGAAATGGGAAAATCTATTTTTTAAATGCAGCATTTGTGTTTGCTATTTTTATGACAAACACTGTAAGATTTCTTCTGTAACGAATACAGCTTTCTCAAAATAGGGGAGGTCACAAATTTTTTTCAATTTGTTTTCTTTTTTGGGAGGCTAACCCTTTAACACTTATCCCAGTGTAACTCATATGCTAGCTGTTGACAGTCAAAGAGGTGCTTTTATAAACAGCAAATACACACACACACACACACACGTAACCACTATTATTATTAGGTAGCTGCTAGGTAAAACACATATGCTATTAACAGGCTCATTTCTGAATCCTATCAAAAATCCTCACGCTTTATATTGACATGGCTCATATGCAAAATAAGTAACTTTTTAAATGCAGGTTTGATTGTTTTGTGCTGTTTCTCTTACTATTTACTTACTAATGAAGATGGGCAGGTTACTTAATGGTCTCTGCACCGTGCTTTTTCACCTAAAAAATCCAAATAATAAATCGCTCTTCATAGTTGCTAAGATCAACTGAAACAAAGTATGTTCTGCTACAGTGCCTCTGGCACATATAAATAGCAGTAATGGTTGTTGTTTTGTTAGCACTAGGTTCCACCACCCAGCAGAATCACAAAAATGAAACCAAAATTTAAAGGATGTGGGCGTGTATGTGTCTGAAACTTTGTCTCAGTAAATAATTCAAGGTTTCTTCTATAAAGCCATAGACAGGTGTGACTTTCCCACCATCATTTTTGCTGCACTTTATTTACCCTGTTTAATAGCCAGAATGTCTCTATTGAATGTTGAATTAAATTAACGCGATGTTTTCCCCTCCTCTTTCCTCTGATGGCTCTTTTCATCTCCACTTCTCTCTCAGTCAAAACCTGGCCATCTGGTTCTTGCTCTCTGACTACTCACACCGCCTTTTCAAAGCCCAAAAATCTGAACCTACTCTTCTGATAAACCCAATACTCTTGACATTTTATACTCACAGCCAGATTCCTAGACAGACATCTCTCTCCTGAAATATGTTCAGTTCCTATAAGAATTCAAGATAATGTTCACAAACCATGCTCAACCACATAATCTTTGTTTTAGTGCAAGCATACTGACCTTGAGGTGAGACTGAAGGAAACAGCAAATCCAGGAAGAAAATGTGAAAAAGAAAGTTAGAAAGAATTAATAAGGACAATATTCAGAAATATTATTTGTGGACATTATAAAATGCAGGATTAGAGAAGGGAAGGAGTCACAAATTCTATGCAGGCACTAAAAAAGAATCATTTCAGATTTTCAACTCTCAACAACTTTACTTTCTTATTAGATTACACCATTGTAGTTTAATGAAAGTTTCTAAAGAAAAAAAAATTTGTCTAAAATTTACCATTTCCTGGGGCAGGAAAGAAACATCATTTCTTAAACACTAAGAAAAATAGAGAAGGTCAGCCATCCCATTTTCATTTAAGTAGTTAGAACTGGCATTAAGTAACTGCACAATTTTAGTGTGCTTAGTTTTATAGACACGCACCTTATAACTAACTGTGCCTTAACGTCCTCATTCCATTAAGAGGATCCAAGTGACCCAAAAGCAAAAGCAGAAAAACACAGCTTCTGTGGAATATAGAACTCTACTCGGAAGAACTTGAAATAATTTTCTCAAAGGTTAAAACATAATTTTCTCCTAATAATAACCAGTATTTCTCACTCCAAATCTACCAAAATCCTCAAATGGTGCAATCTAAAAGCAATAAAGAACAAGAATGCACAGGTCTGTTTACATCAATTCATTTCCAATGCTGCTTAGCAGTAGGAGATTTAAAGCAGTCATGCTTAATGTTCCAGCAGAGTATGTAGCCCTTACAGTTCATGACTGCCTTTTATAACAAGCAGTTTTTTTTTTCTTTTTTAAAAAGTAATCAGTTTCACTGAAATTAGTATGATCCTCCAAATAGTCAGGGCTTCCAATGACCAGTATCATCTGGATTATCTTCATGGTCTAAATTTTACCTTAAGAATCTGAAACAAAATATTTATTTCTTGAATGCAAGCACCATTTCCAATTATACTTTAATGTCTTCTAAAACTTAGTGATTTCTTGCACAAGTATAATTCGGTAACTAAAAGTTTTAAAAACTCATTGTGAGAATAAAAAAAGATAAGGGGGACAAGATTTGTTACCTTGTAACATGAACAGATGAAAAACAGAAACACAACTACTTGCTCACAATCACATGGTGTGTGACTGGCAGATACAGAGTAAGAATGTAGCAGCTGGGCAGTGGGGGCGGGGGTAAGCTCACGCATGTAACCCCAGCACTTCGGGAGGCCGAGGCATGCAGATCACCTGAGGTCAGGAGTTCGAGACCAGCCTAGCCAACATGGTGAAACCCCATCTCTACTAAAAATACAAAAATTAGCCAGGCGTGGTGGCACATGCCTATAGTCCCAGGTACTCAGGAGGCTGAGGCACAAGAATCGGTTGAACCCAGGAGGTGGAGGTTGCAGTGAGCCAAGATTGTGCCACTGCACTCCAGCCTGGACAACACAGCGAGACTCTGTCTCAACAAGAGTGAGAATGTAGGTCTGCTGACATCTCACCTGGGCACAATCTGTATGTTTGATGATGCTTCCTCAGGAATCTATAAAACTCCATGAACCTTTAGCATCTATAATGCAGCGTAAAATGCAGACAATGTTCAACATGTTCAAAGGCAGAAAGAAGCCAATCTCTAAATGATTGTTCCCAGTGATCCTTTTTATTTCATTGGTCGTGACATAGGAAGTCAAAACGGTTTTAGCTGAACAAGAACATTAACTGAATCTCCTTTGTATGTAAGTTTTTATATAACACATGGGTAAATCCATGGGAAAAGACTGAATGTATTCCTGCCAGAGAGCAACTTTAATTATTTAATTTTTACCCACTTCATTATTCATGAATCATATTTCACTTTAACATCAAATTACAACTCTTTTTTTTTTTTCCTTTTTGAGACAGGGTTTCACCTGCCACCTAGGCTAGAGTGCAGTGGCACAATCTCCGCTCACTGCAAACTCTACTTCCCAGACTCAAGTGATCCTCCCACCTCAGCCTCCCAAATAGCTGAGACTATAGGCATATACCACCACACCTGGCTGATTTTTGTATTTTTTGTAGAGACGAGGTTTCACCATGTGCCCAAGCTGGTCTCAAACTCCTGGGCTCAAGCAATCCACCCACCTTGACCTCCCAAAGTGCTAGGATTACAGGCACGAGCCACCACGTCCAGCTAAACTATAACTCTTGGGAAATAACTTTAGGAGAAAAAATCTGTACATCGAATTACATGTAATCCTAATGTTTATACTTTTAGGTAAAACATTACAGTAGCCATTAAACCCAGATTTCTATAAGACCACAGTAACAAATTATAAGGTGCTGTGCCCACAAGAAACTTGGGGAAGACAACCTAACAGAATGACTACAAAAAGCTTTGTAACTTACTCTCCTTTCACAGGAAATCTATGATACTCATCAAGGAGGAAGAAGAAAGAAACCAGCAGCTTCCCCAGAAAGCAAGCTGAAGCAAGCAGGATCAGATAAAAAACCAGTCACCTTCAGTTGTAATACGCTGGCATCTTTCTTTTCCTTTTCAGTTTTTTCATTTTTTAAACACAGACCATCCTCCCTCAAGCAATAACACACATTATATAATTACTCTGAGCCACCATTCGCAGCCCCAGTCATCTCTCTTCCACTCTAACCACATTAAGAGCATATTCTCTGACACTATACTTCATGGATTGAAGATGCGTATCCATAAATTTAAAAGGAAGAATATTTTTCTCTAAAGAGACACTTTCCTCATGAATTATGTAGCAGTTTATGTCAAACTTGCATACGGCTTAATATGGTAGATCTTTGAAGACATTGTAAATGAGTATCAATTTAAGATTTAAGGAAAAATATTTACAAGAATAAAGACTAAATACCTAGGTTTACATTTTCGGGTTACACTATGCAATAGATGCCTGAATATAATGTGATACTAACATAAATTAATATCATAAAGCCCATTTTCCCAATGAGATGGTCCAAAAGAAACCATTTTGGGTCAACCTAATAAACTCAGGATATAGGTAAACCAGTCAAATATCTAATTTACAATTTATACTAGTAAATACATTCATTTGGTTACTACACATACATTTAAAATGAAATATACGACAAAATAATATTAATTAAGAAATACTATTTTCTCCTACTCCCACATTCAACAAAACAATTTTATTCACTCTCTTTGAACGTATTCTTAACATCAATTCACCAAGGATAGAAGATGCATCATAGTAAAAACTATTTTATATTACTGAGAAAGAAAAAAAGTTATACCAATTAGATTATACCACGCCATTTACTTGTATGTGTATCCAAATTTCAGAGATGTTAAAATACAAAACATAATGTCAGAACTGGCATTTCATTGTGACAAAAAGGAGAAAGGGAAAGTTATCTACACTTTTGTTTAATCTACCAATCTAAAAGTAATTAGACTGAATTACATTAAATTGTATAAGAATATTTTAGGCATATGAATGTACTTACATTTTTACAGAAGGAAAAGCATGTGTAAATATATATGTATGAATATATAAACATGTACATGTGTAAACATATTATGTACATATGAAAGAAACAAAAATATTTTCAATATAATAAATATCAAGGTATGGGAGACTACTGAATCTATCTTTTGAATTTCTAAAGGTCTGAATATTATGGGTAATGCTAAGACAAGGAAATGTGGGCCAGGCGCAGTGGCTCATGCACTTTAGGAGTCCAAGGCGGACGGATCACGAGGTCAGGAGATCGAGACCAACCTGGCTAACATGGTGAAACTCCGTCTCTACTAAAAATACAAAAAATTAGCCAGGCATGGTGGTGGCTGCCTGTAGTCCCAGCTACTCGAGAAGCTAAGACAGGAGAATGGCGTGAACCCGGGAGGTGGAGCTTGCAGTGAGCCAAGATTGTGTCCCTGCACTCCAGCCTGGGCGACAGAGCGAGACTCCGCCTCTGTGAGATGATTAGACAGCAGAATGAGGAAAGAGTACTACTTCTCTTTTTTAACATATACACATTGGTCTCTCAATAATGTACAGTCACAGCACAGAATGTGATAGCTACTATTGGAAAAGCACAAGTAAAGGAAAGAGAGATTACTAGTGAAAGGAGGTCAGTAAAGTTTTCTTTTTGGAAAAAAGTAACAGTTAAAATAGGTCAGATTCTCACAAACAAATAAAGAGAACAAAACTTTTAGTCAAAGAGAAAAGAATAAGAAAAGGCAGATAAGAAAAAAGCATTCATCTAAAAAATTCGACTTCTATTTTCAAGAAAACAGCAAATTCTTCTCAGACTATCAAGCCAACAATTGGTAATATCATTCTATAAACTAGGTCAAGTTTGCCAACACATTTTACAAGATTTATGAAAGATAAAACCCTCCATTTTCATTGTATAAAAATTTTAGAAACTACTTGTAAAATCTTTAAAAGAAAATTTAAAAACTCAAAAGGCAATAATCTTTAGGCATTAAGTTGAAGCCTAGCAGCTATTTTCCCAAATGCCATCAGAAAGGTTCTCTTTCTCTTACACATACACATGTGCAAATAACACGCCCAGATTAAAAATCACCACTGGCATGACAGGAAAATGACCTCATTCTTTGTGTTAAAAAAAAAAAAAAAAGTTATGTAATCTGTTCATAAAATTTGGGCTAATCTTGTTCATTTTTGTTTTTAATCAAGGTTGTTCTTAGTATGCTCAGAATTTAGCCCAAATCCTATGAACAGATTACATAACTTTTTTTTTTTTTTTTTTGAGATGGGAGTTTCATTCCTGTTGCCCAGGCTGGACTGCAATGGCATGGTCTCAGCTCACTGCAACCTCTGCCTCCCAGGTTCAAGCAATTCTCATGCCTCAGCCTCCCAAGTGGCTGGGATTACAGGTGCCTGCCACTACGCCCGGCTAATTTTTTTTTTTTTTTTTTTTTTAGTAGAGATAGGGTTTCACCATGTTGGTCAGGCTGGTCTCGAACTCCTGACCATAGGTGACCCACCCGCCTCGGCGGATCCCAAGTGCTGGGATT